GGAACAGGTGGAGGAACAGGTGGAGGAACAGTTGGGAGGAAGGGGTGAAGGAACAGGTGGAGGAACAGTTGGGAGAAACAGGTGAAGGAACAGGTGGAGGAACAGGTAGATGAACAGTTGGAGGAACAGTTGGAGGAACAGGTGAAGGAACAGGTGGAGGAACAGGTGAAGGAACAGGTGAAGGAACAGGTAGATGAACAGTTGGAGGAACAGTTGGAGGAATAGGTGAAGGAACAGGTGGAGGAACAGGTGGAGGAACAGGTAGATGAACTGTTGGAGGAACAGGTGAAGGAACAGGTGGAGGAACAGGCAGATGAACAGTTGGAGGAACAGGTGAAGGAACAGGTGGAGGAACAGTTGGAGGAACAGGTGGAGGAACAGGTGAAGGAACAGGTGAAGGAATAGGTGAAGGAACAGGTGAAGGAACAGGTAGATGAACAGTTGGAGGAACAGTTGGAGGAACAGGTGAAGGAACAGGTGGAGGAACAGGTGAAGGAACAGGTGAAGGAACAGGTAGATGAACAGTTGGAGGAACAGTTGGAGGAATAGGTGAAGGAACAGGTGGAGGAACAGGTGGAGGAACAGGTAGATGAACTGTTGGAGGAACAGGTGAAGGAACAGGTGGAGGAACAGGTGGAGGAACAGATAGATGAACAGTTGGAGGAACAGGTGGAGGAACAGTTGGAGGAACAGGTGGAGCAACAGGTGAAGGAACAGGTGCAGGAACAGTTGGGAGGAACAGGTGGAGGAACAGGTGGAGGAACAGTTGGGAGGAACAGGTGAAGGAACAGGTGGAGGAACAGGTGAAGGAACAGGTGAAGGAACAGGTGGAGGAACAGGTGGAGGAACAGGTAGATGAACAGTTGGAGGAACAGGTGAAGGAACAGGTGAAGGAACAGGTAGATGAACAGTTGGAGGAACAGGTGGAGGAACAGTTGAGAGGAACAGGTGAAGGAAGAGGTGGAGGAACAGGTGAAGGAACAGGTGAAGGAACAGGTGGAGGAACAGGTGGAGGAACAGGTAGATGAACAGGTGAAGGAACAGATAGATGAACAGTTGGAGGAACAGGTGAAGGAACAGGTGAAGGAACAGGTGGAGGAACAGGTGAAGGAACAGGTGAAGGAACAGGTGGAGGAACAGGTGAAGGAACAGGTGGAGGAACAGGTGAAGGAACAGGTGAAGGAACAGGTGGAGGAACAGGTGGAGGAACAGGTAGATGAACAGGTGGAGGAACAGGTAGATGAACAGGTGAAGGAACAGATAGATGAACAGTTGGAGGAACAGGTGAAGGAACAGGTGAAGGAACAGGTGGAGGAACAGGTGAAGGAACAGGTAGAGGAACAGGTGGAGAAACAGGTGGGGGAACGGGTGGAGGAACAGGTAGAGGAACAGGTGGGGGAACGGGTGGAGGAACAGGTGAAGGAACAGGTAGATGAACGGGTGGAGGAACAGGCGAAGGAACACGTAGATGAACAGGTGAAGGAACAGGTAGAGGAACAGGTGGAGAAACAGGTGGGGGAACGGGTGGAGGAACAGGTAGATGAACGGGTGGAGGAACAGGTGAAGGAACAGGTAGATGAATGGGTGGAGGAACAGGTGAAGGAACAGGTAGATGAACAGTTGGAGTAACAGGTGGAGGAACAGGTGAATGAACAGGTAAAGGAACAGGTAGAGAAACAGGTGGGGGAACGGGTGGAGGAACAGGTGAAGGAACAGGTAGATGAACGGGTGGAGGAACAGGTGAAGGAACAGGTAGATGAACGGGTGGAGGAACAGGTGAAGGAAAAGGTAGATGAACAGGTGAAGGAACAGGTGGAGGAACAGGTAGATGAACAGGTGAAGGAACAGGTAGATGAACAGGTGGAGGAAAAGGTGAAGGAAAAGGTGGAGGAACAGGTAGATGAACAGTTTGAGGAACAGTTGGAGGAATAGGTGAAGGAACAGGTGGAGGAACAGGTGAAGGAACAGGTGAAGGAACAGCTGGAGGAACAGGTAGATGAACAGGTAGATGAACAGTTGGAGGAACAGTTGGAGGAACAGGTGAAGGAACAGGTGGAGGAACAGTTGGAGGAACAGGTGAAGGAACAGGTGGAGGAACAGTTGGAGGAACAGTTGGAGGAACAGGTGAAGGAACAGGTGGAGGAACAGGTGAAGGAACAGGTGAAGGAACAGGTGGAGGAACAGGTAGATGTACAGGTGAAGGAACAGGTAGATGAACAGGTGAAGGAACAGGTAGATGAACAGGTGAAGGAACAGGTAGATGAACAGTTGGAGGAACAGGTGAAGGAACAGGTAGATGAACAGGTGAAGGAACAGGTAGATGAACAGTTGGAGGAACAGGTGGAGGAACGGGTGAAGGAATAGGTGAAGGAACAAGTAGATGAACAGGTGGAGAAACGGGAAGGAACAGGTAGATGAACAGTTGGAAAAACAGGTGGAGGAGCAGGTGGAGGAACAGGTGAAGGAACAGGTAGATGAACAGTTGGAGGAACAGGTGAAGGAGCAGGTGGAGGAACAGGTGAAGGAACAGGTAGATGAACAGTTGGAGGAACAGGTGGAGAAACAGGGGAAGGAACAGGTAGATGAACAGTTTAAAAACAGGTGGAGGAGCAGGTGGAGGAACAGATAGATGAACAGTTGGAGGAACAGGTGAAGGAACAGGTGAAGGAACAGGTGGATGAACAGGTGAAGGAACAGGTGGATGAACAGGTGAAGGAACAGGTAGATGAACAGTTGGAGGAACAGGTGGAGGAACAGTTGGAGGAGCAGGTGGAGGAACAGTTGGCCCTGTTCCTCTTGTTAAAGCTGGACTGTGACTCCATTGCAGCGCGCAACTTGATCCAGAGATGAGGGAACAATGACAGACCAGCGATTATCATGAGGTTCAGTAACAGGAAACAAAAATCTGCTGAAACTGGGCAGGTTGCTGAAGGAGTCAGACGTGTTCGTTAACAAGAAGAACGCCGACATGGCGAGGAAGGACCGGTTCGTGAGCAAGCAAAAGAAAATCCAGTCCAGGTGCACCACCCACTGTAAGGTCTTCATCAGGCTGAATGGAACCGGAGGGAACAAGGCTTTGGTCATTCTGGATAAATACGATTGAACTCTCTGAGGAACATTTTGAGCACAGGCGATATCAGCACCACTTTCACCATGTTACTTACAAGTTACAGGAACTGTTTGTACGTCACTGATGGACACTACACCTCCAATAACCTGAAAACATTCAGCTACACGGATTATAAAAGTCAGGACATGGAAGACAATGTGGATCCAGATAACAACTTCTTCTATGACATTGTTGATAACTTCTGCTACACAACCGATCAGTTCAACATTTCAAGTAGATTATCAGTTTTCTATCATACATTTCAACAGCAGAAGGTTCTATGCAAAGTTCAACAACATGAAAGACTGAAGCAGTTTAAAAAGCCAATCAGCCTCATAGCATCTCTGAAACATGGAGTCTGATATAGAATATGATCATTTTCTGAATATCTTTAAAGTATTATACGATAAAAACTAAGCTCCATGGATCACATATATATATATGTACATCAAGTGAAAAAACATTTTAATGCTGATAGCATGTGCTTGATGCAAAACAGCTGATGATAAAAAACATTTAAAAAGGTCATCATTATGAGGAACACAAATAAAAAACCCAATGTTTACCATGTCAATGGTATTGGCACTCTTTGCTGCAAATCAGTATCAAAACCTACTTCGGCTCACCTGTTGCAAATCACAAATGAAGATCACTTTTGATGAACTGCCTCCACACATGTGACATGAATTAACCAATAAATGATGTTGGTGCTTTAAAAGCAACTGTTAGTCCATTTTCACATGTGACAATGGTAAAGACAAAGGAGTTGTCTGAGGACACCAGAAATGCTATTATTTGTAAGCAAAAGAACTCCAAAGGGTATAAAGCCGTCTCCAAAGACCTTGGTATCCCTATCACAGCAGTCTGCTGTGATTGTTTCAGCAAGTGGGCGGAGGCCAAGGAAGACCCCATTGCTAAAGAAAAGACATAAAAAAGAATGACTGGTCTTTGCAAAAGAGAACCTGGACAAACCTCAAGCCTTCTAGGACAACATTTTATGGACAGATGAAACAAACATGGAGCTTTTTGGTAATTCACACCAACAGTATGTTTACAGACGGCGCAATGAAGCCTTTAAAGAAAAGAACACCATACCAACACTCATGCATGGTGGAGGATCCATAATGCTGTGGGGCTGCTTTGCGGCATCTGGTACTGGAGGCCATCATGAAATCAGAAGATTATCAAGAAATTCTGGAGCGAAATGTCTTGCCCAGTGTAAGAAAACCTGGTTTGAGGCGAAGATCCTGGGTCTTCCAGCAAGATAATGACCCAAAGCACAGCTTTAAAAGCACACAGGCATGGTTGAAGGGGAAAAAAACGGACTGTTTTAAAATGGCCAACAGTGAGTCTTGATCTCAATCCAATTGAAAACATTTGGGTAGAGCTGAAATCTGCCATTGGAGAAAGGAAGACTGCAAATGTACAAGAGCTTGAGCAGATTGCAAAAGAAGAATAGGAGAAGCTTCTAGATGAATATTAGAAACGTTTGGAGGCTGTCATTGCTGCTGAAGGCTGTGTAACCAAATATTAGGGAGGGGAGTCAATGCTAGTGCACATGCTGGTTTTCTGTTTTTTCCTTCGGAATTTAAATATTTGTGCTGAAATGGTACCAGTCTTTGTTCAATTATTTTGGACCTTAAATTGAAAGATCATGTCAATATAAATTTTGAACATTTCCATTAATTTCTGAAGATATTTACTCAACTCTGCTTTGAATAAACTGACTTTGAAACCAATAAAAAATTATCTGAGTTAGAACTAGAAAGACGTGAAGATAAAATGACTGCCATCCTTCTCCTGTCGTACTTCACATTTCAACCAAAATTACAGAGAGCAACTTGAACCAGCAGAAATGTTTGTTAGTGTTAATAATATGCCCTCAGCTTACCATAGCAAAGCCCACGTCAGCCTTCTTCAAAGCGGGTCCGTCGTTAGTCCCGTCTCCTGTTACTGCAACAACCTGCCTCTGTTCCACAGCAAGGCTGTCAATGATGCCTGGACACACGGAGGCGGGTGGAAAAAAGGCTCACTATGCTTGTGTTTAACTGAATATTGTGCATTTTAGTGAGAAACCCTGGAGTCTCACCTTTAACCAGTGTGTGCTTGTCTGTCGGAGAGGATCGAGCCAAAACGCGCAGTTTGGGCCAGATTTTATCGATGCGTTCCTGTTCAATCTGCAGAGAAAAGAGAAAAACCACATCAGCAGGTCTAACTGTGAATCTCTGGAAGGAAGCGAGATGCTCACACTGCTCTGTGATCAGTTCAGTCATCCTCATTCTCACTCCTTGGAAAAGCAAAGGAACTCTGTTCTACAGAGACCTTATTATGGCCAATCTATACGAACATTTCTCTATCTCTTTTCTTAATCGCTTCAGTAGCTATCTATCATTGCATCACCACCGTTTACATTTTATTAATTGAAAAGAATTTGAAAGTCTCTCTATCCCTTCTTTTAAAAAATGAAAAGCTTAGATTAAGTGTGAGCCTTTAACTGCACCAATAAAACCAAACTTGGGGAAGGAGCATTTTTCATTCAATAGACATAGCAGTTTTTCAGCAGTGTAGTAAAATCCCATTTTTGAAGTAGTTGTGATGCCATAAAGATAGAACAGGATCATATTTACAGTGACTCACCAGGTGAGAAGTGAATCTAAATACTTTAAACTCTGAGCTGAGCCTAAAGTAATCTGTTATTGTCAGGCTCAGACTGGGAACGATTTTTGGCCCTGTCATTTTTTCATCTACACCAGCCCCCTCCAGCAGATGCAAAACCCCGTCATGCACCTCAACACATTTTTGCTAAATATTCTAACATAAATTCGCCAAATATAAGAAATGGTTTAAAGAAAAAGTATTTTAGTTTGATTATAATTCAGTGAGGCAGTGGGTAGCACTGCTGAGCTTCCAGCAAGAAGGTTCTGGGTTCGATTCCTGGCCAAGGGTCTTTCTGCATGGAGTTTGCATGTTCTCCCTGAGCATGTGTGGGTTCTCTCCGGGTACTCCGGCTTCCTCCCACAGTCCAAAAACATGACTGTTAGGTTAATTGGCTTCTCTAAATCCTCCTTGGGTGTGAGTGTGTGAATGGTTGTTTGTCCTGTGTATCTCTGTGTTGCCCTGCGATGGACTGGCGACCTGTCCAGGGTGGATCCCGCCCCTCACCCATTGACTGCTAGAGATAGGCACCAGCACCCCTCGCGACCCCACTCAGGACAAGCGTGTCAGATAATGGATGGACGGATATAATTTAGTTTGTTGCAAGGATTTTACAGTTTGAAGAAATAGAAAATTACACCATATGCCAACAGTCACAAGGATGTGCATGACAAGGAAGGGCTATATATACTGCATGCATCATTTAGGTAGTTAACATTGGATTAGTTCTTGAGCTTCTTGAGTTATTTACTGTCGCAGGTAGGAGCTTCGGCCGGAGAGGAAGTGTTTGGACCGGTATGATTTAAGGAGGGCCGGCCCTCGAACGCTGGGTAAATGCCCGGTATAACCAGAGATGGCAAAAGTACTCACTTTCCGTACTTGAGTAAAAGTACAGATACTTGTGTTAAAAAATACTCTGGTAAAAGTGGAAGTACTGATTAAACTTCTTTACTCAAGTAAAAGTAACAAAGTACATTCTTGTAAATGTACTTAAAGTATAAAAGTAAAAGTAGAAACCACTTTTTTCATGCCGTTGCCTACATTTTAAATGGATGTCTGCCAATAGGACTAGATCTCCGTTGTGTTCATTTTCAATCATCTCGTCGTCCATGCTACTATGCTAACGCCACCGCCACCAAGCTGCAATGATTTGCCGTGAATGAATACCGCCGAATCTGTCGATTCATCTTGTAGTGGTGCGTCAAATGCAACGTAGATTCCCATCCAATTAGATTGAATTTGGTATTGATGACATGAAAAATAATAACGGTAACTCCATTGAAATTATTCAAAACTAAAGTAACGAGCCAATTTTTAAAAATGTAAGGAGTAGAAGTAAAAAGTCACCATAAAAATAATTAGTAAAGTAAAGTAAAAATATCAGAAAAATCTACTTGAGTACAATAACAAAGTAATTGTACTTCCTTACTTCCCATCTCTGGGTATAACAGATTACCAGTCCGAGTCCGGTTATGATTTTTTTCCTGGTAACGCAGCATCTATGTCTATTTTAAACCTCTAATATAGATATTAGAGGTTAAACATCATTCTATAGTTATTTCTTTAAAAAGGATTTTAAAAAGTCCTGAAAAAACATTAAGCTGATTCTGAGAGATGCTGAACATCTACAGCTGCCAAAAAACTAACTTTAATAGATCAGTAAGGGAAGAAAATGACTGATTTTAACACAGATAAAGAAATGAGAAATGATCTAACATGTTTGTATTTGATACAGTTAAAAAAGCTACGACCAAACCTACCTCCCCTTTCTCGTTCCTGATTCGTCGGTTGAACTCTTTCCCCTCCAGACAGATGAAGTCGTCTCCAGGGTTGATTATACCACACTTGGCAGCGATGGCCCTCGCTGTGTTGATGTTGTCACCGGTTACCATTCGCACCGTGATGCCGGCGCGCTGACACTTCCGGATGGCTTCCGGCACCTTGGAAAGGTCAAAGAATTTAGTTCAAAAAGAAACAGCAGTTTCAGTCTTTAGGTGGATTTTAAACCACGTTTAGTTAAAATATCAGGTGAATGTGTTGGTTGTTTTCTTCAGGTAAGTTAAGAAATCACAAACCTCAGGCCGCACAGGGTCCTCTATCCCCACTACGGTTATGCAGGTCAGCTCAGTCACTATCTCAGCCTCGTTGTCCCATTCTGGCTCTGGATTTGGTGGTAGATCACGGTAAGCTATGCAGATGGTCCTCAACCCTTCACAGGCCATGGGTTCAATCACCTAGCAGTCAGTAATGAAAAACATGGTCTAAAAAGGCAGAAAACATCCAAATACACGCTACATGCATCATTGGAATCCCAATATGTTAAAGAGAGACGAGGTTTGATGGATGCGATGTGACGTAGCTCCAGGGAAAGACCCCCAGCGTCTGAGTGTGACACAGAGAGGAGGTGACATAAAGCTGCCACGACACAAACTGCTGAGCTGGAATCAAGTTGTGGAAGGAGCAGTTCTTTTTCTCACGGCATAAGCTGTGTTCATCATTAGCCAGATTTAGATCCGTCAGCCTTTCACTCACATCATGCTTAGGCTGCAAACTCAAAAAGCACACAGATGCGTTTACTTCAGTAAAGCTGATTGAGCGAAAAATCCGACATCTAAATAAATATTTTTCACCTTCTCTTAACCTTGAATCTAAATGTTGTTTATTTTAAATCTGTGGAAGCTAAATTAGTTAGCATCGTTCCTCGTTTCCCCGGTAACGCGGATGAAAGGTGAAGGTGGGCTGGATCCTCTCATTCACTCAGGCTGCGGCTAATTAGCATAGCACCAAATAACAGAAGTTACCATCAGTTACAGACGGAGGCTGAACAGCAGCTGATCTTACTGAGCAGGAATAGAAAAACAACATCTAGATTCTCTCATCGGTGAGATCAGGAGATTTTATAACAGCAAACATCTCAAATAAATTATAAATAAAGCATTTAAAAAAGTCCCATCAAAAGTGAACAACTTTGAATGAGCTTTACTGATGGCTGCCTGCTTCCTCTCACCTCACAGACAGAAAGTAAAACCTCTCAGCCTTTGGACAGGTGTTACCCGCCTGCTTCAACCACACAGACTGCAGCCATTTGAAAGTGACCCGACTACGTTTACCGACGCTCTGCCATGGGTTTGTTTGAGCATGTGCAGAATAAACCAGAGTTTTATTGAGGAAGCTGCAGGCAGCTGAGCAGAAGCTCACAGCAGGCAGACTGGGACCTGAACAGGGAGGTTAAAGAAGCTTCACTGTGAGGATAAAAGGCAGCTTCTCTCTGCTGACTGAAAGGCATTGAACAGTTTCACTAGTCCTGATGGACTGACATCATCAACATCTCCTCACTGGAAAAAAATCGAAATCTAGATGAGCCATTTTTTCTTAAAATAAGTGCATTTGTTCTTGGATTGAGGAGGTAAAAGAGACACTTTGCCAATGGAACAAGACAATTTACGCTTAAAATAAGAAATCACAATTGCATCGTCTTATTTCAAGAGCATTTTATGTAAATATATTATTTTAAGAGTAGAAATACTCATTCCATTGGCAAACTATCCCATTTACCTTCTCAAATTATGGGTAAATACACTTGATTTAAGGAATTTTGACTTATTTCTAGATGGTTTTTCCAGGTTTAGAAAGTCAGCCATCATCACCTCCTTCTTCTCCTCCCATCTGAGCCACACATCTTAGGAAGAATCTGAATTGTCTGTTTCCCCATCAGAGGAGCAGGAAGCTTCATGGACCTGATGACATTCTGACCCATCTGCCTGAAAAAGCTCATCAACTTCGCTCAGATTGTCTGCAATCATCTCCGGTTCCCACCATTAAAGGACAACACAGCCGCCGGTTTCAGCTGCTCCCATATCCAGAGGTCACCACAGTTAGTCTATTGAACTTATTAATTTTAACTTATTTAAAGCCAGATCTGATTAATGGGGATCTGATCTCTGCTCTCCCTGGTTGCACTAACAAAGCGTTGCACCGGGGGACTCTGGTTGGTCAGATTCTACTCTCATCCCAAACACAGCGCAAACTAAAGCATCCGGTTGGTAGAACAGGTTGATCAGGAGAGACGGTCCCTCTGTCCAGGACTTGTTCTTAGGGTCAGGAAAGGTTCAGCTCACATCTCTGCAGACCCCAAACATGTTATCCAGATGATGAACTAAGACAGCCACACAACTCTGAAATCAAAATCTTTCCTTTGCTTCCACACTTTTAACGACTGCAGCTTTTATCCGGATATTTAACGTTTTCACGCTATCAGCATAAAATCATTAATTCTGACAAACATTTAAACAGTCATGCTAGGAGTTAGCCTAACCTGTTTGACCATTTCATCTCTGTCGCGTGGACGGAAGCTGCGAGCTTCTCCGTTGGCATCCAGGATGTAGGAACACCTGAGAAACAAAACCGATGACATCATCTTAAAACTATGTTTGATCCCAGTCTGCTTTCATCACACAGTTGCCTGCGATCCTCCCCATCCTCCATTCTATCCATCTCTAAACAAAACGCTTTGATTTTATGATGTTTGCTTGAACTTTAGCTCCAAGGCTTTTAAAAAAGTTTGTCTGCAGCCGTAATAAGAAGGACTCACTTCTTCAGCATTATCTCAGAAGCTCCTTTGCTGTAGAGGCGGAAGGTCCCATCAGGCAGCTTGATTACAGTACTCATAGATTTACGCACCGAGTTGAACGTGTAAACCTGGATGCACGGAGAGACGAGAGAGATGGAGGAAACCAGATTGATGATATTTCACGTTGAAATAGTTAGCTTGGTGCCAATATGTCTGTCAGGTACCAAGGAGGCAAATGTTGTAAACGTGGATGGAGGAAGTTTTACTGCCTCTGCTGTTTGTTTATGAAGCTGAAGCTCACAGTGAAGTAAGAAACCTGCTCAATGTGGGAATATCTGACTGAACCAACTTCTGGTTCAGCCAGAAGCTAAAAACCCACGAAGGAGACTTTAGGAAAGTAGCTGTTGGTTCAATTTATTCACAAATACAGAAATACTACGGATAAATTAACCAAAACTGAAACGATTTTAATGCATTTTCATTTAAATCCTCAGCTTCAGTTAAAATCAATAAATACATTTATTGGGATATAAAATAAATAAATCTTTCCATTGACGGACCGTTTATTGGAGATTATTAAGAAAGAAAACTTCCTTCTCCTGTTGTTTCTTTTTTAAACCAAACGGATTTAACTGGAGATTTTCTACCTTGTAGAGTTTCTCCTCTGGAATCTGCTCTCTGACGGTGGCGTAGTCCCGCTGAAGGTTTAAGATCAATCCCAGAAGGCCGCATTCTGTTTTATTCCCCACCTGCTTGGCGAGACCTCCCTCCACATCCGGCGGCTGTTGGAGAGACGATTGATGGCAGACGTTATTCCCAGGATCATTTTCATTTCTTCTATCCAGACTACAGCGAGAACATCTGCCTGCCGTGGATCTGCAGGTTACTCACTAAGATCTTGGAGGTGTAGGCGCTGTTGATGGCGATGGCATTGACCAGCAGATCCAGAGTGTGAGGGCTGACCTGTCCAGGGTCTGGGATCACACGATAGTGAGCATCACCTAAAAAGATGCACAGGATCATTGCTTTGGAAGAAAAACTCACTTTATTAGGTGCAAAAATTCGGCTGCAGACACAACCAGCCAATCGGCAGCTCCGTACGTCCGATTTACTCCATGTAGTAAAGAAGACGAGTTTAAAGCTCTCCTGTTAGCTGAAGCTAGGCTCACACTAGAGCAGATATCTGCTTCATGACTGAAAATTATTTTAAAAAAATGTTTTAATACCAAAGGGAAATAAAACTACAACCACACCTACAGAGGAATCAGACTGCAGTCATTAAAACCAGCTAAAAAACACAAAGGACCAGATTTTTTCAGGATCCAGGGAGACGTAATCTGAAGTATTCTAAGCTAATCCCAGAGATTCTGATGTTGATCAGATTTTTTTCTATTCCTCATGCAGGGAATCATTTCATTTTTCGTGTACGGTTGTTTTTTGGGTTTAACTCGACTTTCAATGTGAATGTTTGTAAAGGTTTACATTATTAAACACTGCCGATGTGCTGCCTCAGCAGGCTGCAGATATTTGGTCGGTAATCGTTTGATGAACCTCATCCTCTCTGACTCTTCGGTCGTCATCCTGAGCTGACAGAAACATCTCAGAAGTTCTGCAGCAGAATTTAGATGCTGGGGGAGATTTTAGGCACCAACATCCTGGAGCTCTACTGCTTTAACCACCAGGCGGGTGGTGCACCCTAACCCAAGACATCATCTCTGGAGGATGACAGACCAGGAGATCCCGTCTGGTAGGAACAGGAAAATGCTTGTCTGGTCTCAGGAGTCTCCGTTTCTGATGCAGACGGCATGAAAACCTGGATTTATGCTGCAGGTCATAAATGATTCAGGCTGATCTTACATGTCAGGCTGTAGCTAAAAAAAATACAATCCTAAAACTCTCCGTACTGTCCGAATGGAAAAAAAGAGAAATCCTTCAGCAGAAAGGAAAAAAGTAACAGAGGTGAAAATATTTACAGCAAAATTTAAACAGTTTTCAGTTTTTCTTTCCACTTCAGCTTTATTTAGTTAGAATACTTATTTTCCAAATGTATTTTAATATTCTTTCTAGAATTGCTTTGATAGTTTTTAGTAGCTACTGTTTTAATAATTCAATTATTTAAATTATTTTTAGTTTAGTTTTCATTTGTTCCATCATTTAGCTCCATTTTTATCTTTATAAACACACAATATAGTTAAAGTTATTTTTTTTTTTGCATTTTAATCAGAGTTTTATCATTTTAATTTAGTTCATGAAATTTTTTTTTCTCCATTTCAGTTTAAGTTTTATTATTAGTTTAAATGTATGATGATAATAAGCCGGATTCACACAAAGGAGTAAAAAATTACACGTTTCTACGGAAGAGGATTAGGGCCACTGAAAAAATAAATAAAAATTAACTGATTTTTAAATTTTATTTCAATTTAACATGGGAAAAAAGTCGGAATTCTGACTTTTTTCTCAGAATTCTGACTGAATTCTGACAATAAAATCTAACTTTCTGAGATTAAAGTCAGAATTCTGACTTTTTTCTCAGAATTCTGAGAAAAAACACTGAATTCTGACAATAAAAAAGTCAGAATTCTGAGAAAAATTTCAGAATTCTGAGATTAAACTCAGAATTCTGAGTTTAAAGTCAGAATTCTGAGAAGAAAGTCAGAATTCTGAGATTAAAGTCAGAATTCTGACTTTTTTCCCATTCTATACTGAAATAAAATGTAAAAAAATCAGTTAACATTCTTTTTTTCAGTGGCCCTAATCCTCTTACGTACGTTTCTCACTAATCCAAGGAAAAGAGTTAAAATGCACCACAGATGAAAACGAGCCATCCCTGAGTGTGAAACTGCAGATATGAAGGACGTTTTTCTTCCTGCTTGGTCCGTCTCACCTACGTAAAGCTGGACCACAGTCATCCGGTTGGTGGTGAGCGTGCCGGTCTTGTCGGAGCAGATGGCCGTGGCGTTGCCCATGGTCTCGCATGCATCCAGATGCCGTACTAGGTTGTTGTCCTTCATCATTTTCTGGTGATATCAGGGGAGAACAGCAGGTGGATGAAGGGCAGGAGATCACAATGGACACAGTTTGATTATGGGATGTCAGAAAGATGGAGAAAGGAAAAAAAAAAACCCCAAAATATTCTGATTTATTTTAACGAAAAAATAATTTCATGAGGAACAATAACACAAAGTGCTGGAAACATTTATGTAACTGAAAATGTTTTGATTTATTTCCTGTGCAGGTAATGCATGTTGATTAATAACTATGGTGGCTGAGGGGCGCAAACACACCGCAAACACATAAATAAACAGCAAATCCAAAAAGGAACGAATGCAGAGAAAAATGCTCCAAAAAAACAAAAACAGGATAGTTTAAATGCGCTGCAGACACATAAACGATGCAAACACACTGAAGTGGGCTTTACCTTGACAGAGTAGGCCAGAGAGATGGTGACAGCGAGAGGTAAGCCTTCTGGGACGGCCACCACCAGCACCGTCACTCCGATTATAAAGAACTTGACAAAATACTGGACGTAAATGGGAGTGCATTCTGGAAGCCACGTGCGACCTGCAACACACAACAAAACACTTTCAGTTCACCATCGAGCCATTGAGGCTAAATGTCGCTCATTAGAGCAACAAGAATAAATGTTTATTTACACCAACCTTTGACAACAAACGTGTTTATGACAAAGTAGAGCACTAGAATGATGACAGTGATGGCTGACATCACCAAACCTGCAGGGAGAGAAGAGGCAAGTTATCAGAGATTCTACCATAGAAAACAACAGGCCTCTTCTGCTGCAGCACTAATGCTTATTTTTCTGATCTTATTTGCACTTTCTATAGAAACTCCAACCACAAGACAACTGACCCAAGTTAAAGATCCCGACCCCTGCCAGCAGAAACGGCCTCAAGAAAGTAAAATCTGTTGGGCTCATTTTGGCATAAAGTCATTTATACTTATCGCCACATCGCCACGCAGGACACTGTTAAAAAAAAAAAGAACTGAACTGAAATCTTGATCTCATGGAGGGATTTTAAAGTTGGATTTCTTTTTTTATTCTGTTTTTATTTCTGACTGATCCAAATTTCTACACAATTTTTATTTTTATAAAGGAGTCTTCACCGACTTTTTAAAACATTGTTTCTGATTTCATTTTTTTTTCTGGTTATTCTTTTTTAACTTAGCAACACAACATAGTTTAATTAATTATTATTTTGAAGCATAAAGAGTAAAAGCATTAAGCTGTTTTACAGATTTTACCAACAACTGATCCTCCACAATTTCACCTTTCAATTTCACCTCATGAATCAATCTGCCCCTGACAGAACATCTATTTACAGTAGATCTAACAGCTTTTAGCCGCTCTGTTTTATTTTTAGACCTGACAGGAAACATCTCAGTTATTGCCGTGCCGTTTGTGTTCCGCTGTCTGATCAGAAAAGACGTCTGCAAGATTGAAGCCTCCATTTTCTGCCTTGGAACTCAATAAATTTGGTTTGGTATTTTCACACTGATAACACCAAACCAAAAATACTGCATATCTGCACCATATATATTAATGCTCTGAACTTCCATATCAATGCATTTCTCCCATACTGTTTATATTTGAGCACTGCTGCACTTTATGGAATGGAAATGTTTATTTCACTGCTAAGCTGCTGCTTATTTACTGTCTGAAATCTGCACAACAAGAAATTTCCTTTTGTATTCACTCTGTCTATGCAAAATGACTATAATCGTTGTCTAAGTCTAAAACATCATATTTGGATGCTGGTGAAGATCTCAGTCAGAGGCGTGCACAGACATTTTGGGGGGCAGGTGCTCAGGAGGGGGGGGAGGGCACTTTTTAGCACATGTGGAACACTTAATTATATAAAAAAAAATATACGCATGTTGAATGAAATTTGACTTTTATTTGTAACATTCTCTAAAAGTGAGTTTTCAATGGAAAAAAGTCACACCACCAACAGAACAGACTAAATGATCAAGTCTGTTACAATAACAGACTTGATCATCTTTCTTCTTGTTTCATCTGGCTCATCTCCCTGTTTTCCCTCACCCATCTGTTCTCCCTCATCCTGGTCTTTTTCTGTCTCTGTGTCTTCCCTGAACTCTTCCTCATCTCCTGTCCTGGTAGATGTTGATGGTATAGAGCTTCCCTGCTGTGACTGGCTACAATATAATAATAATAACCATCATGACAATAATAATAATAATAATAATAATAATAATAATAATAATAATAATAATAATAGCTTTAACAAATATGCCACATTAGTTTAAATAATGTTCTATTAGGGCAACATGACTGGAAGTCTTGTCATGTGGATATGACTTATGGTAGCCTACAAAATAATAGCTATTTTAATACCTGCTGATTTTGTACAAACCACTTAAAAATAAAATGTGAACAGCTTTTAAGATTTTTCAATACGATTAACCATCCTTTCTTTGCATTGTGCTGCAATTACTAAATCAATATACAAGTAAGACAATAAAGAGACCAAAGTGTGTTAATTTATGTTGCCTAACAAAACCTATAAAACAGAAAATATTTGTCTTAACACATAGATTTGCAATTGCAAACTCTACCGAAATTATCTGTAGCCTATGTGGTCGTCCTCACGTTATCTGTCATTGACTTGGGCTACAGTGTAAAACTTTATCTAGTTTAACTAGTTTATCAGGTGACCAGACGGCAAAATGCTTGTTTGGTGCTTTTAATGCACAACAAAATGATTTAGCTTGATCTGTATATTACCTGGCTAATGGGGCACGGGAGAAGCAGCCTGTCAGCGACCGTTCCTGCTATCTGAAGATGCTTACTGAACTGCTATGATGCTGCGCATCTGGCATGCCCTGCGGGCGACCGCGCGAGTTCACGTGACAAAGGAAGAGAGAGAGGCTGGTCGTTTGTGCGCAAGGACGTGGCTCATTTCGGGGCATTGTTTCAGTCGTTTTTAATGGCTCAGGTTTTCAAAAGATCATTTCAAAACCGACCTCAGTAAAATCTTAATAATATTAATAATAATAATAAAAAAAAAAACGAGTTTCAAAAGGGCATTTTCGTTGATAAAGGGCAAACTTCCTAGTGCTTTAGCACCACCTAGTGTCTATGTATGCACGCCTCTGATCTCAGTCATCTCAGTCATTCCAAAAAAAGCAACAAAAAAATAAAATCCAGAAGCGAAACATCTTCAAACCTGGAAACAAAGTCCAGTGGGTTGTTTTTTTTTAGCTTTTTTGGGACATATTTGGATTGTTAGGTTTATTCTTTATACATCATGTGCATTGTGGATGTCACTGTGTGTATGGAGGCCATCAAATCAGGACAGCCTTTGTGTCTTTAGAAATACACAGGATATGGACACATCTTGGAGCCGGGCTGATAAAGGGAAGCTATCTGTAATTCTTGGGAATAGAGGCAAGATGCATGAAGGTCAGGGCATGGATGGCGTGTCAGTTTCTGATACGGACAGCTAAACATCCACATGATCCAACACATAGACTCATGAGCTATAAGAAGGAGAAGAGGACCTTGTTCGCGGCTCAATCTTTGCCGGACGCTTGCGGACGTGATTTTTGAGCCCAGAGCTGTGCAAGCTCCAAGCATTTTCTCTGTCCTGTAACGACCTGATCTGGAATAAACTTTGTTACTTTTTTACTCCTGTTTTATAGTCCTTTTTATATGGTTTTACCCAGTTTGAGTTCAGAGTAGTAAATAACCGTGAGGAAGCCCCCGAGGCACAAAGACTTTTGTAGGGGGCATAACTTCCTCATTTAACAGGATCAAACTGAGAGCTTAGTCAGTCATCAGCTTGACAATAGAAATGGCTTTGGTGTGCTTCTTCATTATGACCAAAGTGAGATGGAAAAAAATCATCGTTTATCCAGTTTTCTTCTTTGCTCTTAGATCCAGAGCTGACATCTGCCAACACCTAAAGCCTCGCTCATCAAACTGTAGCAGAGATCTGATTGATCCAGCGACTGATCACTTTGCTCTCAGGCTGCAGGTTACAGACGGCGAAACAGAAGGTGAAACAGACGGCGGGTCTTTCAGTAATCAGGCTCCACTTCTGTGGAAGCAGCTCCCAGTTGAAGCTCATATTTCCAATGAATCGAAGCTGAAAGTTGCTGTTTTTAAGTGGAGAACATAGAGATAATGCAGCTTATCCTGTCAACAGCTAACAGCTCAGTGCTAAAGTGCTAAAAAAATCCGTTTTTTGGTCAAACTTTAAACATCTGACTAAGAAAAGCAGAATTTTGAATGGAGGCGTTGGTGGGGAATCCTCTGGCTGAGAAACAGCTCCTCTCTGGGTGGATCCAGAGCTGATTAAAGCTGATTTTCTCTCCACTGGTGAATTTACTTGACAAACAGAACCCAGGTTTTATTGAAGGAAGAACATTAAAGTCCAATTATAGAACAATCAAATGAAAACAACCTGATTTGAATCTTTATTTTGCTGCAATAGAGGTAGAAATGTGAAATTAATATGCTTCTGTCCAAGCCAGATTCTTCGTCTAGTATTTGGCATCTAATTGGTAATGAGGCTGAAATAATCAGAATGATTTATTTTTGATCGTCTACTAATCGAGTAATAGAAACGTTTACCAACTCTTACAGCATCGCTGGTCTGTTTCTGTCTGAGAAAAATCCCTTCATCAAAGAAAGGCAACTGAAGGGTAAATATCCTGAACCAGAGGCCCATCGGTGCGTCTCTTTTCTGAAGCCAGCAGTCGATGCCGTCAGGCGCCACCTGCACCTGCCTGACTGTAAAAAGGTCAGCTTGGTTTCCTCAGCCAGAAAATCTGGGATTATAAGGTGAATGTGTTGGAAAGCAATATTTATAACCGGATTGACCTGATGATGCATCTCTAAACGATGCTCCTCTGGACATGAATTAAAATAATATTGATTAATATTGAACAAATGTAAAGAGTGAAGAGGAGCGATTTGTGGACCTGCTTTGCCAATCTGAACGGCCAGTTTGGTCAGCTTCCCCTGCAACACGCTCTTCTCCTTCTTTGGAACGCTGGTCTTCTTCTTCTCTCTGTCCTCCACTTCTCCTCCCTCTGCGCTCTTTAAGGGCTGCATCTCCATAGCAACTCCCCCATCCTGCTTCTTGGCTAAAAACAAAAACAAAAAAACAACAATTTTACATGAACTTTGACCTCAGCTAATTGGTCCATGCAGCATAAATGCTCAGATCCAACCAGAACAATAGTTCAGAGAGCTTGAAAACATTGGAAATATATTTGAAATATGCTAAAAGAAAACATCTCTTTTGGTCTATTTGGTTTGCTGTGAAATGAATAATAAACATTCTCCTCTAAATCTATAAATGTAAAGTAACCAAAAACAATCCCCAAAGCAAAACTCTAAGTGTTTCCGCTGAGCTGCCAGAGTATTTAGGACGCGTCACATTGTGAAGAGAAGCTCCAGAACCTCCGGTTGTTTCCAGGTATTTAGTGACAGACCAGCATGGAGAAGGCCTTCATCTCCTAAAGTATCAACAACACAAGCAGGCGGCTAATGAGCAGTAAAGCAGCCTGTCTGCATCTTCACCTGCATTGAAGGAGCAAATCCATAAAAAAATCAGTTTCTCAGACCTGAACAACAGTTTGGTGTCTCTCTTTAGTTCATGACAAATTCACGTGATGATAGTGATTCCTGCTACAGATTAATGCAGCAGGAATCAAACCATCTTTAAGCCGTTAAAACTCCAGGACTGAGACATCAGAACTGAACAGAACCTGAAGAGAACCGGAACAGAACCTGAATAGAACCAGAACAGACCCGGAACTGAACTGAACTGAACCGAACCGGAACAGAACCAGAACAGACCCGGAACTGAACTGAACAGAATCTGAAGAGAACCGGAACAGAACCAGAACAGACCCGGAACATAACCTGAACAGAACCTGAAGAGAACCGGAACAGAACTGAACAAAACTGAACAGAACCAGAACAGAACCGGAACAGAACCTGAACAGAACCGAAACAGACCCGGAACTGAACTGAACTGAACCGAACCGGAACAGAACCAGAACAGACCCGGAACTGAACTGAACAGAATCTGAAGAGAACCGGAACAGAACCAGAACAGACCCGGAACATAACCTGAACAGAACCTGAAGAGAACCGGAACAGAACTGAACAAAACTGAACAGAACCAGAACAGAACCGGAACAGAACCTGAACAGAACCGAAACAGAACCGGAACAGAATTAAACAGAACCGTAACAGAACCGGAGCAGAACCTGAACAGAACTGAACAAAACTGAACAGAAATGGAATAGAACTGAACTGAACTGAACAGAACAGAAACTAACTGAACAGAATATGAACAGAACCGGAACCAAACTGAACTGAACAGAACCGGAACAGAACCGGACTGAACAAAACCTGAACAGAAAACCTGAACAGAACTGAACTGAACTGAACTGAACAAATCCGGAACTGAATCTGAACAGAACTGAACAGAACCGGAAAAGAACAGAACTGAACAGAACTGAACACAACCGGAAAAGAACAGAACTGAACAGAACTGGAACAGAACCGGAACTGAACTGAACAGAACCGGAACATAACCTGAAAAAAACCTGAACAGAACCGGAACAGAACTGAACCGAACAGAACCGAACTGAACAGAACTGGAACAGAACAGAACAGAACTGAACAGAATCTGAACAGAACCGGAACTGAACTGAACAGAACCGGAACATAACCTGAAAAAAACCTGAACAGAACCGGAACAGAACCGGAACAGAACTGAACAGAATCTGAACAGAACCGGAACAGAACCGGACTGAACAAAACCTGAACAGAAAACCTGAACAGAACTGAACTGAACCGGAACTGAATCTGAACAGAACTGAACAGAACCGGAACTGAACTGAACAGAACCGAACTGAACAGAACAGAACTGAACAGAATCTGAACAGAACCGGAACAGAACTGAACTGAACAGACCGGAACAGAACCGGACTGAACAAAACCTGAACAGAAAACCTGAACAGAACTGAACTGAACTGAACCGGAACTGAATCTGAACAGAACTGAACAGAACTGGAACAGAACCGGAACTGAACTGAACAGAACCGAACTGAACAGAACCGGAACAGAACAGAACAGAACTGAACAGAATCTGAACAGAACCGGAACAGAACTGAACTGAACAGACCGGAACAGAACCGGACTGAACAAAACCTGAACAGAAAACCTGAACAGAACTGGAACCGAACTGAACAGAGCCGGAACAGAACCGAGATAGAACCTGGACAGAACCTGGACCTCTGCAAATATCTGCATCTCCTGGACAGCTGATGGTCTAAGTGGGTCTGCAGCCTGCGGCTCCTGAGCCACATGTGGCTCCTTGGATCCTCTCCGATTGCTCTTAATAGTAGCTAAAAGTGATACTCACTAATGTACTATAACAAATACCTTTATAAAGAATATTTGAATTTTCATAACAATGACATGTAAAGAACAAAGAAATATATTTTTAGCACATTTTTTCTTCTAATTAACTTAGAAGTTATGTTTTACAATTATTTTAAAAAAGCTAAAAATACAAATACACTATACTTTTTTTAAATGGCAACATGTTCCCTATTGCAGATATTTATCAAAAATATTAGGTTGTTTTTATGAAAAAGTAATATAATATTTTGCGGCTGTAAGTGACTCAGGGCAACATGGCTCTTTAGATATGAAAAGTTGCAGACATGTGGTCTGGTTACCAGCCCAGTGACTCCGTCAGCTAACGGTCTGCAGCAGGATCTGCTGTAGATTTGAAGGGAGAACTGACAGGAGGACAGGGTCAGACATGACCTTTGATTCACTGAAGGAACTAATCCAAATACTACACGCTTCAGAACACTATTTGTCACAGTCTTGGTTCTGTTATGTTTTACTTTGTTCCATGTTTTCTAGTTTTATTGGTTTAATTCCTATTTTGTTGTATTTTCTGGATATGTTTGAGTTCTTAGGTTTTTATTTGTTGCCCTCTTGTCTTGCTGTCCATTTCCCTGGCTCCTTCCTAGACTCCTCTCTTCACACCTGCTTCCTATCTGCTCGTTAGTCCTCTCTTTTTTCAGTCTTCCATATATGGGCTCTGCTCGAATTCATGGGCTGCATCCTCCAAGGACGTGGCCAACCTGGACTGGATCCTTCCAAGTCAGTGAAAATAAGGAGACCGGAGGAGTTTTGGCTGTAAATGCAAACAGGTCTACCCTTCGGCGGGTTTCACCGCCGTAGGCTATGTTCCTTAGCAACCGTGATAGTTGACACACAAAGCAGGAAAAGAAGGAATACCGAAGTTTTCAAAACTGTTTATTTATTTTTTATTCTGTAAAGTGAACAAAGACTACAAGGAATGTACTCATGGGAATCCAGAGTGGAATAAAGCATTAAAAAATACAATCAAATATAATGATATAAACCTTAGTCAGTTAAATAACCTGCTGCTGTCATTCTGCACATCTCTGATGTTGCTGCTATTTTCAAATATCCATTAATGTAAAAATGTCCATAGCTGCATATTGGTTATTTATTCTCCAGGTGCACAGATTGATATTGTTAAAACACTTTACAGGAATTTATTGTTTATATTTTAACTCTTCCCTATTATGTTATTCTTATACATTTTTCTAAGGTCCACATTTGTGTGACCATTTTCAATAATCTTTCTGCTGCTGTAAATTTCCCCATTGTGGGACAATACATAGATTTCCTATTCTATAAAAAGGGTTGAAATATATAAGTAAATCTAAACAATGTATGAATTAAAATATATCTGCAAAATCTCTAATATTCAACAACAAAAAATACTGAAAAAATACTAGGTCACTTAAGCAAATTGTTCAAAACTGCAATAAAAAACAAAAACTCCTATCAGATTTATAGTCCCCACCCTGCAGATATATTAGAATCTGTCTTTAAATTCCAGCCAAACCCATTTACACAGTAACAGATAAAAAAGACTTTAGATAAATCAAGCATTACTGCAACATATCTGCCTCAATAACCATTGAAACAACTATTTTCATTCATTTCAGAAGGAACTATTCACAGACTGGATTATATTAAACTGAACTTCCAATTTTCACCACTGTTCGGCGCCAAGTAACCTTTCCTCTGATCACGGCTTGCTTGGTCTTGCAATGAATCCTGGGTAAACCAAGGATAGCGAGGATACATCTGACCCGTCCTTCAAATCAGGCTAAAAGAAGGACGCATTTTAAGGCCGCATAACGAGGACTCTTGGAATCCGACCAGACCTCGGCGCCGCGCTATGACGTAATCGTCTTTCAAATCTGGCCTTCTGAGGACGCGTCCCATGAATTCGAACCGAGCCATACTCTCCCTGTGCAGTTCCTCAGTGCTGGTTTCCCGTCTTACCCTGGCTCCTTGTGATTGGTTTCCCCTGATGTCTCCATGGTTCTGGTTTGTGTTGAATTTTAAGTTGGATTTTGGATTCCTGGATTCCTGCCACTGTTAACTGTTACCACTAATTAAAACTGAGAAAACTCTCTTCTGCCTCTCTGCCTCTGCATTTGGGTCCTTAAACCACAACCAAACCCTGACACTATTAGTGAAAAAAACTTCAAAAGCTAATTTTTCTTAAGCTTTACAGTCGTTTAATAGTAGCTGTTTGTCCGACATAGAAAAAAAAGGAAAAAAATATGCAACAGGTTGCTTAAATAAAACTGAAAGCACTGTATGTGTTCACTTTATGAATATGAACTGTAATAAGAATAATGTTTTATAATTAAAAATGTTTGTTAAACAAAAGATTGTTATTTTATATTAGATCTAGGAATTCTGATAGTTACACTAATTCTTACTACAAACATGTTTTAGTTATTAAAATAGGACTTTTGCTTCATCTTTTTAGGTAAAACAAATTTATATTTCGAATTTCCTATAAAAACGTTTCTTTAATCAAGCTGAAAAATATTCCAAAATTAGAAGAGAAAAATATAAAGGTGATTTAAAACGAATCTACTTTTTGTTACCTTTATTCTGATTGTTCTCCACAGCTCCATCAGCTTGTTTTCCTGAGGGAGAAAAAGGAGAAATATTTCCACTCAGACGGATCATATTTCTCATTCTGGGACAGGGACACTGGAGCAAATTCCGTAAACGCAGAAACAAACATACTAAAGGGAAGAGAAATAAAATGACACTCATTTCATGGGTCAAGAAACAGAAGGACATCTTCAAATGTCCCTCATGGGCTACTGTCACTCTCACTGTGGGCTCCATTCACTGAGGGAAGGGAAGAACTTTATGCTCACATACCATTGGTGACTGTGCTGTTAGCAGCATCTGTAGCGACGGGTAACTGAGAACTGTCCTCTGTGAGAAAGAAAGGTTTGGGTGGAAATTTGCAAAAAAGGGGAAAAAAGGGAGGAAGGAAACTCAAGCAATGAATATGATGATAAGTAACATGGAGCAGCTGTTCAAATATCTGCAGCAACAAATTTAATGGTTTCTCCTCAACATGAAAATAAAGAACACAACAATGAAAAAAGTAAAACATGAAACTAAAGGAGGGAACGTGAGCCAGTCCTGCTATTTGAATTTAAATAACTGATGAGCCCCAAACACAACGGCCTGAATGGTAACCGTCAGCAGCTGATGTGTGTTTGCTGCACTTCGGCGTGTTGTTTCCTCTTTTCCCAGATGCCAGCGACCCGGCGTTCATTCTTGTGCAGCAGTCTGAGCTGCAGCGGAGGCAGTAATGATGTTAACTTTAAGTGCTTCTGCCTTTGTTGTCTGAATGCAGGACCTTTCAAAACAGATTTGAGGAGAGGCTAATGCGTTGTGCATTGACCAACCAAGGCTTTACCCTCAATCCCCTCCTTTCCAACCCACCCCCACCCCCTGCTCTTTCAATAATTGATTGAATCTACAGCTTCTCTTTCACTCAAATTAAGGGGGAGGTCCTCTATCCGCATGCCAACAAGCAGAGAGTGGACAGGAAAGGCAGCGAGGAGGAGTGAGATCTAAAATACCTATAGGTTAGGACACATGTTAAAGGATCTATAGGTCAGACACATGTTAAAGGATCTATAGGTCAGACACATGTTAAAGGATCTATAGGTCAGCACACAGGATAAAGGATCTATAGGCCAGGACACATGTTAAAGGATCTATAGGTCTGACACATGTTAAAGGATCTATAGGTCAGGACATATGTTAAAGGATCTATAGGCCAGGACAGATGTTAAAGGATCTATAGGTCAGCACACATGTTAAAGTATCTATAGGTCAGCACACATGTTAAAGGATCTATAGGCCAGGACACATGTTAAAGGATCTATAGGCCAGGACAGATGTTAAAGGATCTATAGGCCAGGACACATGTTAAAGTATCTATAGGTTGGGACACATGTTAAACGATCTATAGGTCAGGACACATGTTAAAGGATCTATAGGTCAGACACATGTTAAAGGATCTATAGGTTGGGACACATGTTAAAGGATCTATAGGCCAGGACAGATGTTAAAGGATCTATAGGCCAGGACACATGTTAAAGTATCTGTAGGTCAGGACATATGTTAAAGGATCTATAGGTCAGCACAGATGTTAAAGGATCTATAGGCCAGGACACATGTTAAAGGATCTATAGGTTGGGACACATGTTAAACGATCTATAGGTCAGGACACATGTTAAAGGATCTATAGGTCAGACACATGTTAAAGGATCTATAGGTTGGGACACATGTTAAAGGATCTATAGGCCAGGACAGATGTTAAAGGATCTATAGGCCAGGACACATGTTAAAGTATCTATAGGTCAGGACATATGTTAAAGGATCTATAGGTCAGCACAGATGTTAAAGGATCTATAGGCCAGGACACATGTTAAAGGATCTATAGGCCAGGACACATGTTAAAGGATCTATAGGTTGGGACACATGTTAAAGGATCTATAGGTCAGACACATGTTAAAGGATCTATAGGTTGGGACACATGTTAAAGGATCTATAGGCCAGGACACATGTTAAAGGATCTATAGGTCAGACACATGTTAAAGGATCTATAGGTCAGCACACATGTTAAAGGATCTATAGGCCAGAACACATGCTAAAGGATCTATAAGTCAGACACATGTTAAAGGATCTATAGGTCAGGACACATGTTAAAGGATCTATATGTCTGGACACATGTTAAAGGATCTATAGGTCGGGACACATGTTAAAGGATCTATAGGTCAGGAAACATGTTAAAGGATCTATAGGCAAGGACACATGTTAAAGGATCTATAGGTCTGGACACATGTTAAAGGATCTATAGGTCAGGACACATGTTAAAGGATCTATAGGTTGGGACACATGTTTAAGGATCTCTAGGTTGGGACACATGTTAAAGGATCTATAGGCCAGGATATGTGTTAAAGGGTCTATAGGCCAGGATATGTGTTAAAGGGTCTATAGGCCAGGAAACATGTTAAAGGATCTATAGGTCAGCACAAATGTTAAAGGATCTATAGGTCAGGACACATGTTAAAGGATCTATAGGTTCGGGACACATGTTAAAGGATCTATAGGCCAGGATATGTGTTAAAGGGTCTATAGGCCAGGATATGTGTTAAAGGGTCTATAGGCCAGGAAACATGTTAAAGGATCTATAGGTCAGCACAAATGTTAAAGGATCTATAGGTCAGGACACATGTTAAAGGATCTATAGGTTCGGGACACATGTTAAAGGATCTATAGGCCAGGACACATGTTAAAGGATCTATAGGTTCGAGACACATGTTAAAGGATCTATAGGTCAGGACACATGTTAAAGGATCTATAGGCCAGGACACATGTTAAAGGATCTATAGGTCAGGACAAATGTTAAAGGATCTATAGGTCAGACACATGTTAAAGGATCTATAGGTCAGCTCACATGTTAAAGGATCTATAGGTCAGCACACATGTTAAAGGATCTATAGGTCAGACACATGTTAAAGGATCTATAGGTCAGGACACATGTTAAAGGATCTATAGGTCTGGACACATGTTAAAGGATCTATAGGTCGGGACACATGTTAAAGGATCTATAGGTCAGGACACATGTTAAAGGATCTATAGGCCAGGACACATGTTAAAGGATCTATAGGCCAGGACACATGTTAAAGGATCTATAGGCCAGAACACATGCTAAAGGATCTATAAGTCAGACACATGTTAAAGGATCTATAGGTCAGGACACATGTTAAAGGATCTATAGGTCAGCACACATGTTAAAGGATCTATGGGTCGGGACACATGTTAAAGGATCTAGATGTCAGCACACATGTTAAAAGATCTATTGGTCTGGACATATGTTAAAGGATCTATAGGCCGGGACACATGTTAAAGGATCTATAGGCCGGGACACATGTTAAAGTATCTATTGGTCAGGACACATGTTAAAGGATCTATAGGTCGGGAGACATGTTAAAGGATCTATAGGTCAGCACACATGTTAAAGGATCTATGGGTCGGGACACATGTTAAAGGATCTATAGGTCAGGACACATGTTAAAGGATCTATAGGTCAGCACACATGTTAAAGGATCTATGGGTCGGGACACATGTTAAAGGATCTATAGGTCAGCACACATGTTAAAGGATCTATTGGTCTGGACATATGTTAAAGGATCTATATGCCGGGACACATGTTAAAGGATCTATAGGCCGGGACACATGTTAAAGGATCTATAGGTCAGGACACATGTTAAAGGATCTATAGGTCGGGACACATGTTAAAGGATCTATAGGTCAGGACACATGTTAAAGGATCTATAGGTCAGCACACATGTTAAAGGATCTATGGGTCGGGACACATGTTAAAGGATCTATAGGTCAGCACACATGTTAAAGGATCTATTGGTCTGGACATACGTTAAAGGATCTATAGGCCGGGACACATGTTAAAGGATCTATAGGTCAGGACACATGTTAAAGGATCTATTGGTCTGGACATATGTTAAAGGATCTATAGGCCGGGACACATGTTAAAGGATCTATAGGCCGGGACACATGTTAAAGGATCTATTGGTCAGGACACATGTTAAAGGATCTATAGGTCAGCACACATGTTAAAGGATCTATAGGTCAGGACACATGTTCAAGGATCAATAGGTCAGCACACATGTTAAAGGATCTATAGGTCAGCACACATGTTAAAGGATCTATAGGTCAGGACACATGTTAAAGGATCTATAGGTCAGCACACATGTTAAAGGATCTATAGGCCGGGACACATGTTAAAGAATCTATAGGCCGGGACACATGTTAAAGGATCTATAGGTCAGGACACATGTTAAAGGATCTATAGGTCAGGACACATGTTAAAGGATCTATAGGTCAGGACACATGTTAAAGGATCTATAGGTCAGGACACATGTTAAAGGATCTATAGGTCAGGACACATGTTAAAGGATCTATAGGCCGGGACACATGTTAAAGGATCTATAGGTTAGGACACATGTTAAAGGATCTATAGGTCAGCACACATGTTAAAGCATCTATAGGTCAGCACACATGTTAAAGATCTATAGGTCAGGACACATGTTAAAGGATCTATAGGTCAGACACATGTTAAAGGATCTATAGGTCAGGACACATGTTAAAGGATCTATAGGTCTGGACACATGTTAAAGGATCTATAGGTTAGGACACATGTTAAAGGATCTATAGGTCAGCACACATGTTAAAGCATCTATAGGTCAGCACACATGTTAAAGATCTATAGGTCAGGACACATGTTAAAGGATCTATAGGTCAGACACATGTTAAAGGATCTATAGGTCAGGACACATGTTAAAGGATCTATAGGTCTGGACACATGTTAAAGGATCTATAGGTCGGGACACATGTTAAAGGATCTATAGGTCAGGACACATGTTAAAGGATCTATAGGCCAGGACACATGTTAAAGGATCTATAGGTCGGGACACATGTTAAAGGATCTATAGGTTGATACACATGTTAAAGGATCTATAGGTTGGGACACATGTTAAAGGATCTATAGGCCAGGATATGTGTTAAAGGATCTATAGGCCAGGACACATGTTAAAGGATCTATAGGTCAGGACACATGTTAAAGCATCTCTAGGTCAGGACACATGTTAAAGGATCTACAGGTCAGGACACATGTTAGAGCATCTATAGGTCAGCACACATGTTAAAGGATCTATAGGTCAGGACACATGTTAAAGGATCTATAGGCCGGGACACATTTTAGAGGATCCATAGGTTAGGACACATGTTAAAGGATCTATAGGTCAGCACACATTTTAAAGGATCTATAGGTCAGGACACATGGTAGAGGGTCTATAGGCAGGGACACATGTTAAAGGATCTATAGGTCAGGA